GGCTCACTTCTTCCAGCAAGATATCTCCACTATTCAGGGCCTGAAGATGTGCTCAGGAAATGGGAGTCACGGTTTAGGGCTTAATGAATTGTCAAACCGTTTGCTCTTTTTGTTTTTCGAGACAGGGTTTCTCTGTGTAGCTTTGGAACCTATCCTGGCACTCGCTCTGGAGACCAGGTTGGTCTCGAATTCACAGAGATCCGCCTGCCTCTGCCTCCTGAGTGCTGGGATTAAAGGCGTGCGCCACCAACGCCCAGTTAAACGGTATGTTCTTGATACACAATAGTTTGAAAAACAAAAGCAAAACAACTGGGTCAAGGGAGCAGGAAGAAATGTGCGCGTGCGCACATTCGAGGGCATGCATGTATGAAGTTGTCAAAGAATTAACTCATTGAAGAAGGGAAAAAAAGATTATCAAGGAGCAAGAAGCAGTGCACTGAGACTGGGTTCTTGAAACCTAAGAAAAGATTCCCCATGGAAGGCAAAGGCTAGGCGCAGTCTAGAAGCAGGAAGTCTGGGAGGAGCCACTAGGGGGAGACAGAGGGGCAGCAGTGGCTTTGGAGTAAGAAGGCTAAGGAGGGTTGTGTAAGACCCTTCTAGAAAACTTGAAATAGGGGCTGGAGAGATGGCTCAGAGTTTTAAGAGCACTGACTGCTCTTCCAGAGGTCCTGAGTTCAATTCCCAGCAACCACATGGTGGCTCCCAACCATCCGTTATGAGATCTGGTGCCCTCTTCTGGTGTGCAGATATACATGGAAGCAGAATGCTGTATACATAATAAATAAATTAAAAAATTTTTTTTTGAAATACAGAGGAGTAACAGGAGTGGAGGGTGATGCAAAGCTTAAGCAAAGGCTTCCTTCCTTCTTTCCCTCCCTCCTCCTCTGTATGAGTATCTTGTCTCTACGTGCAGGGTTAGTACTTGTGGAGGTCAGACGTAGAGTCCCCATGTCCTGGAACTGGAGTTACAGATGGTTGTGAGTTTCCATATGGATGATGGGAACTGAATCTTAGCATCTGAGCCACCATCCAGCCGCATCTTTCCTTTCTTAGTTTTAGATTGATTTCTTCCAGTATGGATGTATGAATGTTTGCCTGCAAATATGTCTGTGCACTATGTATGTCTGTGCCTGGTGCTTGTGGCGTCAGAAGAAGGCATGGGATCCCCTGGAACTGGAGAGACAGACAGTTACAAGCTGCCACGTGGATGTGGGAACTGAACTGGGGTCCTTTGCAAGGGCAGTAAATGCTCAAACTGCCAAGCTGTCTCTGCAGTCCCCTTATTTTTTAAATTTTGTGTATGTGAGTGCAGGTACCTGTGGAGGTCAGAGGCGTCAGATACCCTGAGCTTGAGTTGTAGGCAGTGGTGAGGCAGCCAATGCCGGTGCTGGGGCGAGAACTTGGCTCCTTTGCAAGAGTATTACTCTATTTTAACTGCTAAGCTGTATCTCTAGCCCTCTTCTTCTTCTTTTCCTTCCTCTCCTCCCTCCCTCTCTCCCTCCCCTTCTCTCTGTCTTTCTCAAGACAGGGGTTCTCTGCGTAACAGCTCTGGCTGTCCTTAAACTAGCTGTAGACCAGGCTGGCCTTGAACTCACAGAGATCTGCCTGCCTCTGTGTGTGCCACCACCTCCCTCTTGTTTTCAAAAATATATTTAGGGTTGGGGCTGTCTGCCACTCAACAACGGAACACATGCTTAGCATGTATAAGGCCCATCCCTAGTATCTTAAAAAACAAAACCAACAAACAGCCAACCAATTTGGTGCGCTCAGTGAGCACAGAGAAAGCTTTCTGGATTCTGTTTGTCCTCAGGGACATCTCTTCCTACAAGTCCCCTTCTTATGAAAACCATTTCTCATATCTCCTGCTACTTATGGGGTTCAGTCAACACAGGGCTACACAGAGCACAACCTCTTACTGATATAAGGGTCTATGAGTGTGGCACTCCCCATGCAGGCCAATCTCAGTGCCTAGTGCATCCCTATCACAGAAGACCAGGTGGGGCCCTCAAAGGTGCTTGCTGCCAAGCCTAACAATATACGTTCAATCCCAGGAACCCACTCAAGCTGTCTTCTGACCTCCACACTGAATCGAGCACACAAAATAAATATTCAAGGTGGGTGTTGGTGGCACACACCTTTAATCCCAGCACTCAGGAGGCAGAGGCAGGCGGATCTCTGTGAGTTCAAGGCCAGCCTGGTCTACAGAACGAGTGCCAGCATAGGCTCCAAAGCTACACAGAGAAACCCTGTCTCGAAAACCCCCCCAAAAAAATCAAAACTTAAAAAGAACAATGTTCAGCTGGTGTGGTGACTACACCTATAACCCCAGTAGGAGGACTGCAGAGTTAGGAGGGTGGTGAGTTTGAAGTCAGCCTGGTCTACATGATGAGACTCTAAAACACTGCTGGACAAACAAAAAAAACAGTACCCCAAAAACTTATTAAAGGCATCAAAAGATTGGCAAGTAACAACTGGGATAAAGGTGAGAGGGCTTATTGCATGGCACTTAGCAAAGTTGTGCCAAATTTCCTCCAACGAGATCTGTTCTCTCACTCAAATCTGCCCAAGGCTGTGTGGTTTGAGATTTCCTCCTCTCCTCAGTGACCTGAGCTAATTATTCCCCTAAGTTTGCACAGGACAGAAGTGGGTCTGCATCTGCCCGGTAGCACACTGCACAGAGAGCTGGGCCAGGTCGGGCCTTCCTCATATACACTGTGTCTCTAGCACTAGGGTGTCCCACAGTCACCTACACCAGTCACCAGTGTGCCTTCTTTTTCCTGCAGTCCTGGCCATTGAACCCTGGAGCTCTACCGCCGAGCAGAGGATAGCCCCAGCCTGAGGTGCTTCTGTGTGCAGGCTGTCATGACACATACGTCTGCAATCAGACTCTCTGGGGACCTGAGCCAGTGCCTATCAATTTTTGAAAACTAGTGGCCACATCCTGTGCCAGGCTTTGTCTACATGTTTCTTCCAATAATGTTCCAGAGGTTTCAGAGTATCCAGAAAAAACTCAGGTCTTCAGGTGACTGGGTATCAATTCCAACCTCAGTCTTCATTCACCCTACAAAAGCTGCCTGGGGGCTTGGGAGGTGGCTTCCTGTGTTAAGAGGGCTTTTGCAGAGGATCCGAGTTCTAGTCCTAGCATACATCAGGCCCATAATTCTAGCTCCAGGGGCATCTGGCACCTCTGGCCTCTGTGGGCACCCATACTCGTGTGCATATACTCACACATATAATTAAAAATAATATTAAAAAAAGCTAATGCTGATGGCTGACTTAGGGGTATAGTCCTGCAGTGCTCATAGCTCATCCGTGGTCTGTGTTAACTCCCTCTTCTCCTCCAACCCCTCAGCATCTTGCTGTCCTGTTGGCTCAAACCTCATGACCTGGCTGTGACCCCATTGCTGTTCTGGGATAATTGTTTTTTGAACATATATATTCTACCTCAAAGAGACAGGTGGCTTTAAAAAATGACTGGGATATAGTTCTTTTTCTGTTTTTCTCAAAGAAGCCAGCAAAGAATCCAATCTGAATGTTTTGGCTGGATGAAAGAAAGGCAAGGCATTTTTAGTCAGGGTCTCATGTAGGCCATAGCCTCAAATTTGCCATGTAGCTGAGGATGGCCTTGAACCGATACTCTGCCTTAGCCTCCCATGTGCTAGGTAAGCCATCATGCCTGCCCTGGGAAGCATCGTACAGGCATTTACTCTCTCACTGCCATGTGTCCAGCACTGGTAAGTGTTTCCCATGGGAATTCTGGGGATCACGTATGGTTCAGGAAAATAGGAGATGGGGTTTCATTCAGTTTCATCTTTTCTCCACCTTTGTGTGTGTGTGTGTGTGTGTGTGATGCCTCATGTACCTGGGCAGTATTAAACGTACTCTGTAGGGCTAGAGAGATGGCTCAGAAGTTAAGAGCACTGACTGCTCTTCCAGAGGTCCTGAGCTCAATTCCCAGCAACCACATACATGGTGGCTCCCAACCATCCGTTATGAGATCTGGTGCCCTCTTCTGGTGTGCAGATATACATGGAAGCAGAATGTTGTATACATAATAAATAAATAAAATAAGAAAAAAAATACTCTGTAGCTGGGGCTGGCCTTGAACCCCTCAAGTTCCCACCCCTCTGGAGTGCTGGAATTACAGGTGTGTCTACCACACCCTGCTACATTCCTAGCCCCTCACCTTATTTTTTTCTAATTTAGTTTTGGATATTAAAAAAGCAGTTCTCTAGGATAGGGATGCAGCTCAGTTGGTAGTGCTTGTCTAGCATGCACAAAAATCAGGATTTGAACCCCAAAACCCTGTAAACCATATGTGGTATCACAGACCTGTAATGCCACTACAGAGAAGGAAGAGGTAGGATCAAAAGTTCAAATCATTGTTGGAGCTATGGTCAGCTTGAGGCCAGCCTGAGCTATGTGAGACCTTGCCTAAAAAAACAAAAACAAGCTTTCCAAGGTAACGTGACAAGAGAATTGTCACTGAAAGTTAGTGCGGGTACACTCAGAATCAATCTTTGGTGTCTCCTCCTCATCCAGAGACTCAGGCTGGAAAGGAAAGAATCTGGGAACTAGGCTACACCAAAGAGCAATGTAGTGCCCTCTGGTCTCAGGTCTACCATTCTGGTTGCCAGACAACTTGAAATTGTTGATATTTTATAAAGGACAGTGAAGGCTATTGCGGCCCAGAGTTGAGTCCCTATCAAAGAACTCCTTTTGGTTTTCTCTGTCAGACCCCAGAGCACTGCAGAGGGGACTGTGTTCCTTCCATGCTGGCTTTCTCTGTCATCTTAAGCCTCTCAGCCTTGCCCCAGCCCAGCATTGCCCCATCACGCTCTTCTGGTGTGCAGTTTTAGAAGCAGCAGTGGGGGCCTTTGGGATTGAGAGCTATCCATCTATTTCTGGAGTGAAAGTTTGTAGTCCTATAGTGCCATAATATCTTTCTTCCTTCATGAAGACAGATTCCCAGTCCAGAAAAGAAGAGACGGAAGCAGTGCCATGCTAAAGACTGTAGGAATAGTTTAATGCTTTAATTACATTATGTAATAATAATATCATAGTCTATTTTACAAGTTAAAGGTATGAGAATGTATGAAATAGAAGTGGTAGGAAAAAAACTAGATGGGTCAGGTGGGTAAATTTTTTCAAAACCAGAGGCCAAAGAAAGCCTGTAGGGCCCAAGGAAGAGGCGGGGCAGGTGACGACGCAGTGTGGTTCCTGGTGTGGGTTTGTTCCCATGCTTGCACCAGGATGGAGTCGAGGCTTGTCCCCTGCACTCGGCTGGGGTTGGGAGTTTAGTCTTGTCAGTGGAGATGGAGGTTTTGGGAGAAAAAGCCAACTGGCTACCTATACAGAGCTGGTTTCCTGGTGTCACAGGTGGGTTCTGTGTTGAAGGAATCAGCTGAAGTATCAAAAATCAAACGAGTGGAGCAAAAAGTAAAGCTTCCTCCTGCCCCCGTTCCAAATTCTTCAAGTGCACCCAAGTTCTTCTCTCAGACATAGAAAAGCCTCACCCTGGACGTGCTGACAAGAAGGTCGTCGTCAAAGAACTTTGTCTCTATGATGACATTGCCCCTGTTGGAGAGAATCAAGAGGGCAAAGAAAGTGAGTGCCACAGGCCACGGCACCACCTCCACACATGGTGTCCATTTGGGTTCTCTGGGCTGGGCACATGTACCACCTAGAGCCTTACTTTGGGCCATCACAATCCTTGTTCAGTTAGATGTGGTGGTGCATACCCATAATCCCAGTATCCACAAGGATGAGACAGGAGGATCTGAGTTCAAGGTTAGTCTGGGCTATATAGTGAGGTTCTATCTCAGAATGAGAACAAAGCCAGGTGTGGTGGTGCATACATTTAATTCCAGTCCTCGAGAGGAAAAGGCAGGCGGATCTCTGTTCTAGGTCAACCTGGTCTATATGGTGAGTTCCAGGTCAGCCAGGGCTGCAAAGTGAGACCCTATCTCAAAACAAAACAAAACAACAACAAAAGCAAAGCCAAGCCAAACAAAATTTAAAAGTGTTGTCTCTATGGGTTAGATTCTTACAAGGTGTTTAACTTATGTGACTGGTTTGTTCCCATCAAGCACTGGAGTCAGAAATAAGTGCATGCCTCTTGTCTTGGCACACTTCTGTCTTTGCAGAGTGCTCTGCATACAGGTCCCATGGACACCTCGGGTGGGATTACTAATGGATGGCTGCAGATCCTGGGCCAACCTCAGAGACATTTTTGTCCCACAATACTAACTAAAGCAGACAGCTAGACTACCTGCCTTGTAGCACTCTTCTGACTTTGGGTAGTAGCATCCTGCTCTTCCTTTGTGGTCAATCCCCTCTTCTGTTCTCTGGATCAGCTGAGTGACCCCTCTCTCACCTTGCAAAGAGGTGTCACAGTATTCTATTTATGCTAATCAGATTCTTTCCCTTAAATAGCATCCTTCCTTAGTTATTCCTTAGGAAGACATCAGATTCCTGCCCTTGTCTCTTCCAAGCTTCTTCTGTTTGATCTAACTTAGGTCAATTAGCTAGGGTTTGTTTCTGTGGTTTGCAACCAAAGAGCCTTAAATGAGGCACCTGAATTACAAGGATGGGGTTAGATGGTTATCTCAGTGGCCCATTCTGTTTGCTTTCTTCTTTCCTGGCTGTGCCTGAGAGTGATCCTAGACCCTTGTGCATGGCAGGAAAGAACATCCCCACTGAACCATAAACGGCAGTGCTCCCATTTGTAAAATGGAATATTAATGCCATACCAAATCACTTTTGACAGTTTTTTATATTTTACTTTAAAAAATACTTATTTTAAGACTGGATGTGGTGACACATGCCCTTTATCCCAGAACTTGGGAGACAGAGGTAGGTAGATCTCGAGTTCAAGGCCAACCTGGTCTACATAACAAGTTCCAGAACAGCCAGGTCTAATTAGAGACCCTGTCTCAAAAAAATATTGTATTTTATCTGCATAGATGTTTTGCTTACATGTAAATCTGTACAACATACATGTGCCTGGTGCCTTTGGAGGCTTTAAGAGGGTATGGGATCACATGGAATTGGAGCTACAGAGAGTTGAGAGTTGTCATGTGGGTGCTGGGAATCAAACTTGGGTTCTATGGAAGAGCAGTCAGTACTTTTAACTGCTAAGCCACTTCTCCAGCTCCTCTATGTCTCATTTATACATTTGCTGTGGCTTTAATAAAGGATATCCTGTAGATGACCTAGGGTTACACAATTATTTGTGGGACTAAACTTCTAGACAACACTACTACTGAAACTTCTTTTTGGTAGTGCTGGGCGTAGAACTTACACATGTTGAGCAAGCTCTTTGTCACTGAGATACATCCCCAGGCCTATTGAAATATTTGAAAGACTCAATCTTTTCCCAGGAATATATGCTAAGTGGGCAGTTACTGACAATGTTTTCAGACTTTTATTATTATTACTGTGTATCTGTGTATGATGTGTGTGGTAGTGCAGGAGCATGTGGTGCATACCATGGTTCACATGACTCATGTACCAAGGCATACACCACATGTCAACTTTTGGAGAGCATTTCTCCTTCTAGCTTGGGTTTCAGAGATCAAATTCAGACCACCAGGTCTGTCCCATTAAGCACTTTTATCAGCTGAGACATCTTGCTAGCCATTGGCAGTTGTTCTGACAAACAAAGGAACTGTTTGTTGATCAGGAAGCAGTTAGGGAATCATAGGCCAGTTTCTGGAAGCCTATGCCCAGATGCTATCCTCTAAGATGGAGCATTCTGGAGATGTGGTAAGGGGATCCAAAGTGTGTATAGAGACTTGGTGAGAAAATGAACTTGCTAGATTTGACATCCATTTTGTGCTGGTTCTTTTCCACATTGTCTCAATTTTTTTTTTTTTTTACCTTCACTGTATCCAAGAAAATAAGGCTCTGCAAGGTAAGACATCACCCAGCTTGGTGGTGGTACATGCCTTTAATCCCAACATTTGGGAGGCAGGTAGGTGGATCTCTCTGAATTCCAGGGCAGCCTGGTCTACAAAGTGAGTTTCAGGACAGCCAGGGCTACACAGAGAAACCTTGTCTCAAAAAAACCAAAACCAACCAACCAACCAACCAACCAAAGACATTATCACCCAAAGACAAGTCATCAGGGTGAACTGGAAATTTAAAACGTGGTCTAAAGATTTTGAAACTACTGTTTTTCAAGGTCAGTAACCCTGACACAGCCCTGGGTAATTTTCTGCTCTCACTTCTCTCTAGATTTCTGCTTGTGAACAGGGCCAGGAGTCCCACCTGCCTGAAAGCCTGTTTTGAGACACACTTTGAAATTCCCTGAGACCTCACTCACGTTAGGACGCTGGCGGGCATCATCTGGGACTCGGGTGCTGCTTCTATCAAGGACTGCCAGGTATTTGTGGAGTTAGGGATCACAAAGCCAAACTCGAAGAACCACTCTGAAGGAAGAAGGAAAAGCTAGTGAGCAAGTGCTATTGTGGGCACGGGAAACCATAGGCTATTTGTCCCTCTCCTTTAGAGTGGGCTCTTCCTATCCAGAATCATGAAAGGACTTATCAGATGCCTCCTAAACCAGAGGCATAGGAAAAGACACAGACCTTCACAGACCATCTTCTGATTTGTGCCACAGGCTTCTTACGCCCACTCCCCCTCAAGGCAGGGTTTCTCTGTGTAGCTCTGGCTATTCTATTCTGGAACTAGTTCTATAGACTAGGCTGGCCTCAAACTCAGAAATCCACATGCCTTTGCTTCCTGAGTGCTGGGATTAAAGGCATGTGCCACCACTGCCTAGCTAGGCAGTGTTTTCTTTTCTTTTTTAGATTTATTTATTTATTTATCATGTATACAGTGCAGGCCAGAAGAGGGCACCAGATCACATTACAGATGGTTGTGAGCCACCACGTGGTTGCTGGGAATTGAACTCAGAACCTCTGGAAGAACAATCAGTGCTCTTAACCCCTGAGCCACCTCTCCAGCCCCAGCTGTGTTTCCTTAGGAGTAACAAGATGTGCACTAAAATAGAGATAGAGAGCCTTTTGGAATTTTAGCTTTATGGCGCCTACATGTTCTCTTACATTTGAGAACTACTCAATGCCGGGAGTCCCTACTAGTTTCAGCTTATGATGTGCAGGTACAGCTCTATACTACACTTCACCATAGCTGCTTCTTCCAAGACCACATTGTAATACCACACCAGATACAGGCACAGGTACAGGCACTCAAGCTTCCAGTGTCAGAGAGCTCAAAGCCCCTTTTGTGTCCAGCCTTGTTTGTTTTCACTGGGGATGCCCAGTTTGTAGACATTCTATTAGTTATAAAATTAGCATTCTCAAAGCATCTGCCTTTTGCCCCATCCTCCTACACTCTGGCTCCAGGCACACATGTAGCAGAATACCTTCTAGGCATTGCCCTTTGAAGTAAACTTTTTGTTCCAGGCGGAATTTTTCCATTTGCTCTGCAGAAGAAAAGTTCAGTTCTCGAGACACTGCCTTGCACTTGAGGATTTTCTTGGGCACACGGGCTGATAAAGAGAGAGAGAGATATAGGTACCCTTGTAAATGAGAACCACAGGGCTACGATGCTCTAGGTTCCTGGGAGTTCCTTTGGCTGCCTTAGAGAAGGCGTTATGTTTATTAAATTACATTAAATGTCTTGGTAACTGCATTATATTCCAGCTAAAGGCAGAGATCTAATGGATCAACACATGTGACATGTTGCCAAGGAACACCAGATCTGGTGTCTCCATAGTCCTCAACTAGCTGCTGGCAGGCTCAGGCTGTGAGTATCCGCTAAGCAGGCTGTGTGGGTGTCATCTCTATATTCCAAGTCACTGAAATCCTTTACCTTTTCTTTTTTTCTCCAGAGAGATAAAAATGAAAATTTTCCTTTGGAATAAGTTGAAATCTTAGCTTACAGCTTTTCTTTTCTTTTTTTTGAGATAAGGTCTCATGTGGTTCAAGACTGGCTTTGAATTGACTATATAGCTGAGGCTGGCCTTGAACTCTTGATCTTCCTGTCTCAATCTGCAAAGCTCTGGGATTACAGATATGAGCCATCACATCCAGATCTGGGTGTGGTCCAATGCTACAGTGGATTTGGGGAACTGAAATAAAGAAATGTAAAAGTGGAAAAAGAAGTGTTCTATTTGCCTGTGGGGCTCACCTGTCTACCGGCTGTGGGTTTACTTAGCTCCCTGATGCCAGGACCTGTTCTGGCACTGGGCACAGCTTGTGCATTCAAGGGGCTGCAAAGTACCTTCATGCTCCACCCCAGGCACAGATAGGTCTTCTGTTCCTTGCCAGAGTATCTTCCCTGTTTCAGCATCCCGAAGATTCATCCAATTTCTGATCAAATATGATTAAGGAAAAGTAAGGCTCTGAGAGTGACCCCTACGGTGCAGGGTAGGGTCTCACTTTGCTCCTATCAACTTTGTTTATTTTGTAGCAAGTCTGTCAAACTTCCCATGAAAGCAGGTAAGTATATGTAGGAGAGTCCAGAAGATGCCTCAAGGAAGAGGCAGAGACCACCAGAGAGATTTTTTTTTTTTTCCTAGACAGGGTTTCTCTGTGTAGCTTTGGACCCTTCCTGGCACTTGCCCTGTAGATCAAGCTGGCCTGAAACTCACAGAGATCCACCTGCCTCTGCCTCCCGAGTGCTGGGATTAAAGGCGTGTGCCACCAATGCCCGGCCATCAGAGAGATTTTTATCTACATCATTTTACATAAGAATTCATACATACACACACACACACACACACACACACACACACACACACACACACACACAAATGCCTTTAACTTGGAAAGTCATGATCTACTGAAACCTTTGAGTATTGGCAGGTTCTCCCAAGAAAAGGCACGACCATCTCCTTTGGATATTTACCTTTCAAGGACTTTAGGAGAGCCACTCGGTGTGGCTATCAAAAGAGTAGGCACAACTACAGTATTGCTTGAAGAGCCAGGGCTCTGAAGCAAATCCCCGGGTGGACCTGACCTCCCAACTCCAGAGGGGTCCAGCTGTTTAATGCACAAGAAGCATTGGGCAGGCCTGACATACAGAAAGCTGTGACCTTGGTGTGGAGAAAAAGCCACTCTAGGGGTCAAGTGAAGGAGTAAAAAGGCTAAAAACTGTACTTTGGCCCCAAATTGGTTCTGTTTGCTGTCATCTGAATTGTTCCCATTCTAAATAACTGACATTCTTGGCACCTACTACACCTGGGGTTCTTGCTACTTTGAACTCTCACCAAGAGAGGAGCTGGGAATGGGCAGCCCAGGTTCAAGAAAGATGCCTCAGGCCTAGAGGAAAAAAAAAAAGCTACAGCTGAGCAGTGCAATAATCCCAGCACTTGGGAGGAAAAAAAAAAAAAAACCAAAGGAAGGAAAGGAAAAGACAAAGAGGCCATGAATTTGAAAGAGAGCAAGTGGGGAGGTACATGAGAGGGTTTGGAGGAAGGGAAGGTGGGCATGATGTAATTATAATGTAAAAAAGAAAACTATGTATGTTTCTGTGTCTGTGTGGGGGGGTCCTTGCAGGCCAGAGGTATCTATCTCCCCTGGGGTTAGAGTTAAAGCTGGTTGTGAGCTTCCTGATGTGGATGCTGGGAACTAAACTCAGGTCCTCTGCAAGAAGAAGCCTGTGCTCTTAATGGCTGAGTGAATTCTCCCACACCTTATTTTTAATTAGGTACTTGTGTGTGTGCTTCTGTGTGGGTTTGCATATACAAGTGCAGGTGACTAGACAGACTAGAAGGCATTGGCTCTCTTAAAACTGAAGTTATAGGTGGCTCACAACTGCCTGTAACTCCAGTTCCAGGGAGTCTGGCACCCTTTTGTGGCCTCCACAGGCACTGCACACACATTGTGCACATACATACATGCAGGCAAACATTCAAACAAAAACATTTTCTTTTTTTTTTTTTTTGGTTTTTTCAAGACAGGGTTTCCCTGTGGCTTTGGAGCCTATCCTGAAACTAGCTCTTGTAGACCAGGCTGGTCTTGAATTAACAGAGATCCGCTTGCCTCTGCCTCCCGAGTGCTGGGATTAAAGGTGTGCACCACCAATGCCCTGCTTAAAAAAAAATTTCTTGGTTAACTCAACAATTTTCATTTCTTTCATATACCCTAATCGGAAAACTGCCAGTGTCTATATCAAATGTTTCATTCCACAGTCATAGGCGTTAATTAGATACTATCTACTATAAACAATATGAAACCAGAGAAATACAAAAGAGAGTTCTACCCAAAGGTGGTTGAGTTGAAATAACTAAGGCTCCTTTAAGTTCAGTGGCTTTAGGAGTGGAAAGGCAGGCTGGGCCTCTGGTGGGCTAGCTTCTCAATGTCCTGGGTTCCCCAGGCTCATTCTCAGAACTGAGGGACACACACACACGCACGCACGCACGCACGCATGCACGCACGCACGCACGCACGCACGCACGCACGCACGCACACAAGCAAACAAACTGATTTACAGGCCTATAATCTTAGCATGCAGGAGGCTGAAGCAGGATTGAGTGTGAGAGAGGCCTTATCTCAAAAACAAAACAAACTAAAATAAAAATCGATCAAACAAAAATTCCCCAAACAATTAGAACAGCTGGCTTTCAAAAGTGAAAGACAAGATCTGATGACTGATCATCTGGTTGAAAACATTTTTGCTTTGGGGCTGGAGAGATGGTTTAGCAGTTAAGAGCACTTCCAGAAGTCTCAGGTTTAATTCCCAGCACTATATGGCAGATTGAAACTGTCTCTAACTCCAGGTCCAGGGATCCAATGCCCTCTTCTGACTTCAGTGAGTCCTGCATGTAAGTGGCATGCAGGCATACATGTAGGTAAAACACCCAAACACGTAAAATTATAAAATAAAAATAAAGAAAACATTTTTGCTTCAACAGCATTTTGTTGAGCAGAATTTTCAGAGAAAAGAACACCCCAAGTTTTAAGGCTCAAAGGTCAAGTCACTTGCAATCTAGAGAGAGGATTAGGTAGACAGGCTTTAAAGGAGGGGGTGCTGGGTACTATTTATAAACACCACCCTCTGGGTCAGCCAGGTCACCTCCTCTCTTTTAAAGGCTCCCTGCTGTTTGTAAGGAGGATGAGCAGAGCAACACTCCTTTGCTACTGGAAGTCTCCCCTTAGAGGAGAGCATGTCTTGGTATTACGACTCTTATCTGGGACCAGGTCAAGTCAAATGCTCTCACATGTAAAAGCACCAACAGCTGGGGTACCCACATAGTGGAAGGAGAGAAGCCACTTCCAAGAGTTGTCCTCTGACCATCATAAGTAAGCTGTGGCACTCACATGCTCACACACATATCAATATACATATTTAAAAAAACCAAAAAAATAATTAATAAGTTTCAGGCTGGAGAGATGGGTAGAGGTTAAGAGCATCGGCTGCTCTTCTAGATGTCCTGGGTTCAATTCCCTACAACCACATGGTGGCTCACAACCATTTGTAATGTGATCTGGTGCCCTCTTCTAGCCTGCAGGCATACAAGCAGACAGAACCCTGCATATATAATAAATAAATAAATCTTAAAAAAACTGGTAGCTTTCAGATCGAAATCAAAGCTTGCAAAGTACTGAGCCTCCAGAAAGATAAGAAAGCAAATAACATGAGAGAAAGGAGGCTTTTAGTTTAAAGGGAAGGTTTTATGAATCTTTTTGTGTTATGGAATCTATGTTGGGGCTGCACAGGTACTCAGTGGTTAGGTAAGAGAACTTCCTGCTCTTGCTGAGCCACCAGAACCCACATGGTGGCTCACAAACATCTGAAATGTCACTTCCAGGTGATCCAAGGCACTCCCTTGGCCTCTGCAGGCACCTGGACACATGTAGTACATGTACATACATGCAAGAACAACACTCATGCATAAAATTAAAAAAAAAGAATTTAGATGAGGAGTTCGAGCTAGAAGTGAAATGTAGAAGGCAATGATGCAGGAAAGCAGCAAAGCGGAAAGGGAGAGCTTGGGGACTGGGAGAAACCAGAGGAACCAGTCAGGGGAATGGAGAACCAGGCCTATTTCTTTGAGAGATGAGAATGAAGGAAATGAGCTAAAAGAATTTAAAATATCAGCCGGGCATTGGTGGCACACGCCTTTAATCCCAGCACTCAGGACGCAGAGGCAGGCCGATCTCTGAGTTTGAGACAAGCCTGGTCTACAAGAGCTAGTTCCAGGACGGCCTCCAAAGCCACAGAGAAACTCTCTATCTCAAACCCCCCACTCCCCCAAGGGAAAAAAAAAAGAACTTCAAAATCATCTAGCAGCCACTTAGAGGCATTTGGGGATGAACACACTGGTCCTAGGAGTCTTAGTTTTAAATGGAAATGGTCAATATCAAATTTCTCTATAATAAACAGATTGACTGTATATGCCACAACCTCACTGCCAAGTTGAAGGAAGGAGAAATTAGCAAAAGGGAAGAGAGTAGAGAGAGACAGTGGAGAAGTCAGAGAAGGAAGAGACAAGAAACATGCTACACACACAGGGAGCAAAAAAGACGCAATGAAAGGAGGGGGGGTGGAAGGTGCTTCTAGAACTCAGAATGGAGAGACAGAGCCAGCACAGAAGAGAACAAAAAGGAAGTCTTGGAAAGTCTGCAGATGAGGTTCCATATTTATTTTTATTCAATTTAAGTATTATATGGTTGTCTTGGTAGATAAGATTCTTGGAATGGGCAGAGGAGGGCTATTAAACTCCTCAGAAAACCTTAACTGGTAGACTCACAATTTCATGTAATTTATCATGCAAACTGTGCCACTTTTTATTTTATTTTATCCTTGCTAGGTAGACCAGGCTGGCCTCAAACTTAACAATGACCCTCCTACCTCTGTCTCCAAGGTGCTGGGATTATAGGCATGAACAACACCCAGCTAGAATTTCAATAGTAAGCAGTCTCCTTAAAAGTATTTGAAATGGCCAGGCAGTACTGGTGCAATTCTTTAATCCCAGCACTTGGGAGGCCAGCTTGGTCTACAGAGTTCCGGGACAGCCAAGGCTACACAGAGAAACCCGGGTCTTGAAAAACAAAAACCAAAACAAATAAACAAAAAAATATTTGGAATGGTGGGCTGGAGAGATGGCTTGGCAGGGAACACTAATTGTTCTTCCAGAACTAGGGTTCAATTCCTAGTACCCACTTGGTTGCCACAATCCTCTGTAACTCCAGTTCCAGAGGACTGAATTCCTTCTTTTGGCATCTGTGGGCATCCAGCATGCAAGTAGTACATAGACATACATGCCTATGGGTATAGGTAAAAGACTTATACACATAGAATTAAAAAAATATACACATATAAGACATCCTAGGCCTTTATTGGGATTAGGATGGAGACGACAGGG